TTGCACCGCTGCCAGCCGTCCTGGCCGTTGCCGCAGGCGGCGACGGCCGTCCAGTCCACGAGCACGTCGACGTCCACGCAGGCGCGGTCGTAGAGAGCGACGCCGCCGTCGGCGCCCATGCTCGCGAGGCCGCCGCCGTGGCCCTCGGCGACGGAGTTGTTCCACACGCGCGTCGCCGTGAAGTCCACGTAGCTCGACATGGCGAAGACGGCGCCGCCGAAGGCCGGCGCGGACGACACGTCGGTCCCGGCGACGGACGCGCCGGAGACGCGCGTGTCCGTGACGCTGCTGACGTCGTCGGTGCCGCCGAGCACGTGCAGCGCGCCGCCCTGGGCGCCCGCGGCGTTGTCCGCGAGCGTGACGTTGTCCAGGTCCACCCGGAGCGCGACGAGCGACGCGAGGAAGCCGCCGTAGGCCGCCGCTTCGTCGCCGAAGCTCGCGGCGTCGCTGACCTCGACGGTCGCGAGGGACCCGGCGTAGAGCGCGCCGCCGCGCTCCGCGGCGTTGCCCGCGAACGTCGACCGCGCGACGCGGAGCTCCGCGTTCGAGCCCGCGTGCACGCCGCCGCCGCCGCCGGCCGCGCGGTTCCCGGCGACGCGCGCGCCGACGACGTCGCCCTCGGCGAAGTCGGCCAGGTACACGGCGCCGCCGTGGTCCCCGGCGATGTTGCCGGCGAAGGTCACCGGCGTCGTCGACCGCACGGCCGCGGCGAGCGCGACGGTGAAGGGCGCCGAGACGCCGTCGTCGTTCGGCGCGACCGTCGCCGCGCCGGACGCGGGCGGTCCCGCGGGCCCGTAGGTCGTGTAGCTCAGCGCCCCGGCGCCCCAGCCGTCGGTCCAGGCATCCGCGTAGAGCGCCAGGGCGTAGCCGCCCGCGGCGAGGCAGAAGCGATACGCCGCGACCTCGCCCGCGTCGACGCCGCCGGTCGCGTACGCGCCGCGGCCGTCCGTCGCCCGCTCGGCGACGGGCAGCGCCGCGTCGTCCTTCAACACGGAGAAGAATAGTTCCCCGTCCATGGCTTCGGACGTGTCCGCGCCGTCGACGTCGACGGCGAGGAACTGGCAGTCGGACGCCGCGAGGAGCGCGCCGCCGTAGGCCGCCGCGCCGCCGCCGGAGCCGCCGGCCCGGTTGCCCTCGATGGTCGTCGCCCCGGCGAAGACGAGCGTCGCGCCGTCGCCGTAGGCGCCGCCGCCGTCGCCGGACGCGCTGTTGTTCCGGAGGCGCGAGTCGGAGACGACCACGCTCGCGAGCGACGCGGCGCTCACGCCGCCGCCGACGGCCGCGCGGTTCCCGTCGATCAGACTGCCCCGGACCGTCGCCGTCGCCGCGGCGTCGACGAAGAGCGCGCCGCCGCCGTCGGCGCCGCCGGCGACGGTGTTCGAGATCGTCGCGTTGACGAGCTCGAGGTGGTCGCCTGGGCAGCAAAAGGGTGATGCAACGTCGCTTCAACGTGAGTGTTCCGCGCGCGCGCGTTCCAGAAAAAGCATCCACGCTTCGAGACCGTTCCGAGAGATGATCGCTCGTCCAAAAATCAGCCGAAACGAGTGGGAAATGGCCGAGATATCAGTCTCCAAAGTTGGGAATTTCGCTCTCTTTTCCTGCCCTGGTGGTCGCCCGTCGCGACGGAGATCGCGCCGGCCCCCGCGTAGGTCGCGCAGCCGTCGACGACCGTGTCGGCGACGACGACGTCGAGGGACACGTCGAAGAAGAAGCCGCCCGCGGACCCGTAGGCGCTCGCGTGCGCGACCCCTCCTCGGACCGTGCAGTTGAACACGTCGACCGCGTCGACGTCCTCGGACAACCCGCCGGCGAGCAGCGCGCCGGCCTGCGGCGCGTAGTTGTCCTCGAAGACGACGCCCGCGAGCGACCCGCCGCTCAGCAGGAGCTGGATCGGCGCGCCGCCGCGGTCGTCGTTCGTCTGCGCGTTCCGCGCGAAGTAGCAGTCCTCGAAGGTCGCCGCGGGCGCGACGTCGTACGCGGCCCAGATGCTGTAGCCGACGGACACCGCGTGGTCCGTGACGGCGACGCGAAACGCGGCGACGGACCCCCACCAGGCCACGTGCGCGGCGCCCCAGCCGTCGGCGTCGTTCCGCGCGTACGTCGAGTCCGACACGTCGACGTCCGCGTAATAGCCGATCGTCGCGCCGCCGTGGCCCGCGGCGTAGTTGCCCTCGAAGGCGGAGTCGGCGATGGTGAACCCGCCCGCGAGGTACGCGGCGGCGCCCCCGCCGTTGCCCGCGGCGTAGTTCCCGGAGAAGACGCACCCGACGACGTCGACCTTGCTGCCGTACGCGAGGAAGCCCCCGCCGTGGCTCATGGCCACATTTCCAAAAAAGGTCGAGTTGAGCACGCGCGCGGTGCCGTAGACGACCTCGACGGCGCCCGCGGCGACGGTGGCGGTCATGTTGTGGAACGCGCAGCGCGCGACGACGAGCGCGCCGGAGCGCGCGTAGACGCCGCCGCCGTAGCCCGCGTACCTACGGGTCTCGGGCGGTCTTCTTTTGTTCGTCGCTCGTCGCGGGCGCCGGCCGCCGCATGTCGTGGAAGTCCGAGTCCTCGAGGACGACGTCCGCGGCGGACGCGGCGACCACCGCGCCCCGGTACGCGTAGGACGTCAACACCTCGGAGCCGCGCATGGCGAAGTCGCCGCCGTTCTCGAGGTAGGCGACGCCCCCATAGTCCGCCGCGTACGCGTCCGAGACCACGGTCGCGTCCACCGTCGCCGACGACGCGGACGAGAAGAGAAAACCTCCATGGCTCACGGCGGAGCAGTTGGCGACGAGGGATCGAAGGACGGAGACGGCGGACGCGACCGCGTAGATCGCGCCGCCGTCGTAGAGGCTCCGGCAGTCGCGCACGGTCGCGTCGACGAGCTCGAGGACGCCGTCCGCGACGTAGACGCAGCCGCCGGCGCCGCCGCCGGCGCGCGTCGCGGCGTCGGAGCCGAGGAGCGTCGCGTTCGCTAAGGCGAGGCGCGCGGCCGTCACGTTGAAGAGGCGCCGGCCCGCGGCCGCGCGGAACGTGCCGCCGACGACGGACGCGTCGCCGCCGCGCGCGACGGCGACCTCGTCTTCCAGGACGGCGTCGAAGCCGCGCGCGTCGACGGCGCCGCGCCCCCGCGCGATGGCCGCGGCGACGCCGGCCGCGGTCGGCGCGGGCGTCGCCGTCGGCGCGCGGCTCGCGGCGACCGGCGCGGCCGACGGCGCGGGCGTCCAGGGAGCCCTGCAGGATCGGGCTTCGACGGCACCGTCGTCGTCGACGGCGACGGTCGCCGCGCCGGCGCCGGCGCCCGAGACCGCGCCGCCGACGTCCCAGGAGATCTCGCTCTCGTAGTCGCCGGCCGTGGCCTCGAAGACGTAGCAGCCGGCGGCGACGCAGGCCGCCGCGGCGCCCGACGCGCCGTCGGCGAGCGTGCCGCTCGCGACGATCGCCGTCGCGTTCCAGGCGCGCACGCTCCAGGCCGCGCCGTTCCAGCCGTCGTGGAAGGAGTCGAAGAGCCGGATCTCGACGCAGCCCGACGGCGCCGCAGCGCGGAGCGCGGCCGCGACGATGACGCACTGGAGCAGGCGCATGCTCTAGCGCACCGCTCTTCTGTATGCGGCGGCCATCGTGATCTTGAGGCGGGGCAAAGGAACTTGCCCCGAAACATGATACATGAAGATCCCCTTGCCGAAACACCCAAAGATCAGTGGAAACCTTGTATCCTTGAGAGCCGCGCTGCCCAAGAGGTCCGCTAGCTATGGTCTCTCCCGCACCTCGGCCATAGGCCCAGGGCCCTAGACCATGTCCGCACCACGCGGGCCTCCGCCGAGGGGCCCTCCGCCGCGTGCCTTGCAGCGTCCGACGAGACGAGCGCGCCCGTCGCGCGGCTCGCGGCTCCGTTTCTCGGGAGTGCATGGTCGCGCCGTTCCTGCTCGGATGCGCGCCATTCGACCCCTTCTCTGTCGTAGGCGGCCCCCCGCCGCGCGGCCCCCCGCCGCGCGGAGCACCGCCCCGCGGCGGCGCGCCTTCCGGCGGCGCCGGCGCGCCTCGAGGACCACCGCCCCGTCGGTCCGCGGCGTCCCGAAAGACCGCGGCGAGGAACGATTCGACCCCGTCGCTTGCGTAGGCGGCCCCCCACCACGAGGTCCTCCGCCGCGCGGGCCCCCGCCGCGTGCGTCGCAGCGTCCGAACGTCGTCGCCCCGAGCGCGCGCGCTCCTTTCGGCGCCCGACTCGTCCCATCGCAGGCGGCCCGCCGCCGCGAGGTCCACCCCCAGGAGCGCCCCGCGGGGCGCCCCCCCGAGGCGCGCCGCCGCGGGGGCCGCCGCCGCGGGGGCCGCCCCCCCGAGGAGCCCCCCGGGGCGCGCCGCCGCGGGGCCCGCCGCCGGGCGCGCCGCGCGGCGCGCCGCCGCGCGGGCCGCCGCCGCGCGGCCCCCCGCCGCGGGGCCCCCCGCCGCGGGGCCCGCCGCCGCCGCCGTCGACGGGCGGCGGCCAGCCGCACGTGCCCGTCGCGCCGGACCTCCCGAAGTTCGGCCAGCTCCAGGTCACGGTGCTCCGCGGGTCGTCGCTCAAGGCCGGCCAGTCCATGTACGGCCGCGCGGACCCCTACGCGAAGCTCACCATCGGCACGCAAGTCTACACGACGAACCCCCACAGCAACGGCGGCAAGGACCCCATCTGGAACGGCGAGCACACGTTCGAGATCAGCACGGAGAAGGAGCTCCTGTTGGAGGTCTTCGACAAGGAGCAGGTCGGCAACGACAAGTTCATGGGCCACGCGCGCGTGACCATCGTCGACTGGATCGCCGCGGGCCAGTTCTCCGGCGACGTCGACGTCACGGACATGTCCGACCGGCCCGTGGGCAAGGTGAACCTGAGCGCGCAGTTCTTCCGGCCCGGCGAGGGCGCCATGGTCGCCCAGGCCGCGGAGACGCCCGCGACGGACCTGGCCGCCGCCGCCGACGCGCCGCCGCCGGCGAAGGAGCAGGCGCAGCCCGCGCGGGATCCCAACGGCAAGTTCTCCGACGAGGAGATCTGGGAGGCGTTCACGGCCTTCGACCTCGACAAGAACAACTTTGTGGGCGCCGCGGAGATCCGCCACGTGCTCATCAACATCGGCGAGCAGGTCACGGACGAGGAGGTCGACGAGATGATCCGCATGATCGACCGCGACGGCGACGGGCAGGTCTCCTTCGCGGAGTTCTTCGAGATGGTCACGGGCGGCCGCCAGCCGCCGGCGGGCCTCGGCGGCGGCGGCCGCATGGGCGCGCCGGGCGCGAGCGCGTCGGCGCCGCCGCCGACGGGCCAGTCCGTCGTCGCCGCGCGGAACGCGAAGAAGCAGGCCTTGACGAGTTCGCGCGCGACTGCAACTTGAAGCCCGAGTCCATCAAGAAAGCCTACAAGCGCTTCCAGGCCACGGACAAGGACAAGAGCGGCATGATCGACTACACGGAGTTCTGCGAGGTGCTCCAGGTCGACCCGAGCCCCCAGGGCGAGCGCCTCTTCCAGCTCTTCGACTACGAGAAGAGCGGCCAGATCGACGTCCGCGAGTTCATGATCGCGCTGTCGAACTTCACGGGCGCGGGCAAGGACGACAAGCTCAAGTTCGCCTTCATGATCTTCGACGAGGACGGCAACGGCGTCATCACCAAGGGCGAGCTCACGCGGATCCTGCGCGCGAACCACATGGCCCAGGCCGACTCCGAGGTCGCGCGCAAGGCCGACACGATCATGCAGCAGGCCGACAAGGACGGCGACGGCGTCGTCACCTTCGACGAGTTCGTCATCGTCTCCAAGAAGTTCCCGAACATCCTCTTCCCCGCATACTCGTCCGGCGGCAAGTAGCGAGGGGAGGCCGCGCGCGCGTCTAGCTGTAATAGGTTTCCAGCGCCCATGTCGTGCGCTCAATGGACCATCGCGCGGGGGAATGCCATTGGCATTGCACAGCGGGCAGCTAAATGATATGCGCGGCAAGGAGATGCCAAGGTGCTGTTTTTTGTTAATTCGGTCCACTGACTTTCCCATGTGTACTCACATGGTGTAGGCTACCATGACCGAGACCGGGCTCAGAGCCAGGCTCGACAAGACGAGGTCTTGAGTACAGCTTCTTATGGCATCTTGTGCGGTCGTGGGCGGCGACGGTGAACGGTCGCGGGGTCGTGGCGGGGTCGTGGGCGGCGACGCGGCGTCTTCGCGTCGCGGGGGTCGTGTGTGTTCGTGGGTGGCGACGGTCCGTCCCTCTACTCGCAGCCGAAGCCGACGAAGCGCGCCGCGATCGCCGCCGACGCGGACGCGGTCTCGACGAGGAATTCGGACAGGCGATCCGACGCGGTCGACGGCCGCTCGCCGAGGTCCGCGCCGGCGGCCGAGAAGGCGCGCCGGAGCTTACCCGCCGTCGCGGGCGTCAGCAGCTCGTCGAGGACGAAGGCGTCGACGTCCTCGGCCGTGGCGAGCGCCGCGTCCTCGAGGTCCTCGCTGAGCGCGGTCTCGACGCGCGTGACGACGGCCTCGGGCACCTCGTGGGCCTCGAGGAGCTCGCGCACGGACGTCGGCGTCGGCGGGTTCGAGGCGCCGGCGTCGTCGTCGACGTCCATGGCGTCGAAGGCCTCCTCGAGGCACCGCGCGGCCGGCGCGCGCCGCAGCGGCGGCGGTGGCGGCGGCGACGCGGGCGTCCACGCGGCCTTGGGCGTCGGCGCGGCCTTGCGCGTCGGCGTGGCGTCGTCGTCGTCGATGACGTAGGGCTTCGGCGGCGACAGGTAGGCCGCGAGGGCCTCGTCGACGAGCCTCCGCCCGCGAGCCATCTCCGCGGCGTCCAGCGCGCAGCCAGTGCCGTCGAGCTGGAGCGCGAGGCCCATGTCGGGTCCGGCGCGTCGGAAACGCTCCGATTGCGAATGCGCACGCGCGCGTTCGACGACGACGACCGCTGTAGCAGAAGCGCCTTGCCACGATTTTGCCGGGCGCGCGACATCGGTGATTGAAGGACTTTGAAGTGGCGCTTGCGTGAAACATGCCGTAATATTGAACTAAATTACCTCCCCTCATCATCGCGCCTTCGCGGCGAGGCGGCTCGACCGTCGCGGCGTCGGGGCGTCCGCCGCCGGCGCCCGCGCGCGGGGCTTCCGCGCCGCGGGCGCCGCGGGCGATTCCGGCGCGGCCGCGACGCCCGTCTTGATCCACGCGGGCTTCGACGACGCGTAGGAGGCGCCCGTGAGGTACATGTGGACGAACTTGCCGAACCAGGCGAACTGGAGCGCGTTGAGCGCGACGAGCACCGCGGCCCGCGCGTCCGACACGCGTTGGAGGATCTCGAGCGTGAGCAGCGGGAGGTAGCAGCACCGCGCGGCGAAGAACGCCGCCAGGAACAGGGCGAAGGTCGCCGCCGTGTCCCGCTTCTGCCAGTGGTGCAGGAGCGGCGTGCTCAGCTCCACCAGCAGCGCGCGCGCGCCGAGGACGAGCGTCTCCTCGGGCTCCCGGAGGCACGCGCCGACGAGCAGCAGCGTCGCCGCGTGGTGGCCCGCGAACATCCAGTCGCGCTCCCGCAGGCAGCAGAATAGATCGACGAGGAAGTAGCCCGCGGAGAAGGTCAGCGCGGCGACGGACAAAGGGTAGGGGTCGTCGCAAAGCCCGGCGGCGAGGACCGCGGCGCTCGCGAGGACCGCGTGCGCGTCGTGGGCCTCGGTGGTTCGCGCAAAGGCCGCGACGCCGCCGACGGCGAGCACGACGAGCGCCCAGACGTAGGTCCAGACGAGCGCGCGGTCCAAACCGCCGAAAGCGACGGGCGTCAGCGTCAGGTAGAGCTCCAGCGGCAGCATGTGCCAGCCGATGTGGCAGTACCACCACTTCGGGTGCTTCTTCGCGTGGTTCAGGTAGATGGCGCTCCCGAAGAAGGCGCCGGACACGGCGATGGACACGCGAAACGCCCACTCGGCGTGGTGCAGCCGCACCGCCCAAGAAACGAGCGTCGTCGCGAGGACGATGTCGGGCCAGAAGGCCTGGTTCAGCTGGAGGTAGTAGACGTCGCCGGCGTAGGAGAAGACGGTCTGCACGGCGCCCGTGCAGGAGAAGATCACGCCCTCGGCGCCGTAGCGGCCGTAGAGGAAGTCGCGCTGGAAGGTGAGCGCGAAGAAGGTCCACGCGAAGAACGTCGAGCAGCTCCAGCGGTAGCAGTCGTTCGCGAGCGCGAGGGCGTAGACATCCACTGCTTTTTTCTTTGGCATGGCTCGCGTTGTCGGCCTTAGCGACACCTTAATTGGCGCGGGCTCTCGACGTTGGCGGCGCCGTCGCGTGCCACAACGATGTCCTCAGCGATCATGATTCGATCCGTTCAACGTGCCTGCCACCATTACTCCTGGCAGCCGAGCGCGAGGTCGAGGAGGTCCTTCTTCTGGGGCTGCTTCTCGAGGAGCGCGGCGGCGTCGTCCTCGGAGACGTCGACCTTGAGCGTGATGGTCCCCGCCGTCTGGTCCTCGAGGGCGACGAGGTCGACGACGAAGGCGAGGTTCGGCGCCGCGCCCGCGGCCTCCAACTTCGCGTGCGCGTCCCCGAGCGGCGCGCCGCGGCCCACGGCGATGGCCAGCGCCGTCGCCGCCGCGCGCGAATTTCCGTCCGTGCAGTAGACGAGGAGCTTGCGCCCCGCGTCGAGCGCCTTGGCGCCGAAGGCGAGGCCCTTGTCCCACTTGGCGGGCGCGTTCTCCGAGAGGCTGTCGCGGAGGGGCACGTCGCAGCGGTCGGCCTTGCGCAGGCCGCGGCAGAGCTCCTTGGCGCAGCAGAGGAAGTGGGTGCAGGCCGTCCAGGCGTGCGCGTCGCGGAGCGCCGCGGGGCAGTTGTGGACCGACCGCTTGTCCATCTTCGTCGCGCCGTCGCGCGTCGCGACGGCCGCCGCGAGGCAGTCGCCGACCCAGAGCTCGCCGCGCGTCTTCGGGTCCGCGTAGAGCAGCACGGCCCGGCCCTCGAGGAGGTGCGCGTGGGGCACGCGCGGCTCGAGCGGGAGCGGCGCGAGGTTCGACCGTTTCACGAGGAGCACCTCCCCCAGGCCCCGCTCCGCGGACCAGCAGCTGCCCTCGAGGAGCTGGACGGCGACGCGCGCGGCGTCGGCGACCTTCTCGTTGACGACGACGGCCTTGCGGTCGTTGTAGCGCGTCGCGCCCGTCAACCCGTCGACGCGCGCCGTCGTGCCCAGCGACACGGGCGGCCCCTTCGGCGTGTAGCCCTTGAGCGCGGCCTTCTCCTTCTGCTCCTGGGCGTCGCGGTCCGCCTTCATCTTCGCCTTCCACGCGAGCGTGATCTCCTTCTTCGACCGCTCCGCGCCGCGCTTCCTCACCTCCTCGGCGACTTCTTCTTCTTTGCGCTCGACCTCGGCGCGCTCGTCGTCGTCCATGTCCTCGCCCTTGAGCGCCGCGTCCCACTTGGAGAAGTCGAAGGACGCCTCGACCTCGCCGCGGTCCTCGCCGTCCTCGAGCTTCTTCGGCGCGCAGTGGGCCGCGTCGACCGCGCGGACGGACGCGGCCCGCTCCTCGGCGGCCTTCTTCAGCTCTGCGGCGATCCGTAGACACTTGGGGCAGCTCCACTGGATCCAGCGGCCCGTCGTGTTGAGCGTCTCGCCGACGCCGTACTTGACCTGGAAGGGCGCGTTGTGCTTGCGGAGGCAGGCCGCGTGGGCCCACGACATGTTGTCGCGGTCCTGCGCCGGGCAGGCGCCGCAGTACGCGTCGCAGGTCGCGTCGCCGACGCGCAGCTCGCGGCAGAAGACGCACTTCTTGAAGGCCGCGTCCTCCTCCTCCTGGGCCCGCTCCGCCGCGCGCCGCGCGCGCGTCTTCTTCCGCGCGCTGCGCCGGCTGTAGGTCGAATCGCAGACGCTCAGCATGTCCGTCACGTCCTCGACCTGGGGCTCGTCGCCGGGCTCGTCGTCGGCCTCCGGCGCGACGCCGTCCCATTTCTTGTACTTGCTCCCGAAGTAGTCCGTGGACGGGTCGAAGGCGGCCATGGCTTTCTGCGCCACCAAGTGGCCTCCCTGGAGGTCCAGACGATCGAGAGCTCGATCGGGGCTGCTTCATCCACAGGTTCACCCACGGCAACTTGACGTCGGCTGCAAAAAGATGCGTTACCCGCACGCGTGAAGGTACGCGCCTATTCAACTATTAGCTCAGCAGGGCGACGACGGGCCTCGGCCGGCCGACGCGGCATCGGTCCTCCTTGGCCGCGGCGTCGGCGTCGACGTGGGTCGTGAAGCCCCAGCACTCGAAGTTGACGACGTCGAACTCGGACGACGCCGCGAGCGGCGGGTTGCCGTAGGTCTCCGATGGCCCGGAGGAGCCGCGGGAGAAGTCGTCGTCGAGGAAGAAGCCGAAGGAGCCGCCGCCGCCGCCCATGGCGATGGACGACTCGGAGCACATCATGAAGTAGTTGTTCGCGCCCGTCCACGGGAAGCAGGACACGCGGGGCCCGTCGTCGTCGGGCGGGTCCGGGATGATGTCGAGGATGTGGCCCCGCGACCGCCAGATGCGGCGGCCGTCGGGCGTGCGCCGCGGCTCCGCGTCCTTCTCGTCGCCGCCGGACGCCTCCGGCGGAGGCGGCCAGTCCGCCGGCCGCTTCATCGCGTAGACCGTCGGGAAGTCGCCCTCCTGGAAGGGCCGGATCTCGCCGTGGCGCACGGTGATGGGGCCCGTGATTTTTTTCGACGCCTGCCGCTCGACCTTGAAGAGGAACGACTGGCCCGTGCCGTAGTACTCGGCCCCCGGGCGCCAGACCGCGTTCGTGTAGCCGCCCAGGATCTCGCCCGCGGACGTCTCCGCGACGACGAGCGTCCGCGACTCGAACTGGACGCGCGCGTAGAACGTGCCCGCGTTGGCGCCGTGCTGCTGCAGCGAGTAGAGCTGCCGCCAGTTGTAGCCGCGGAGCGTCGCCGGCAGCGACGGCTCGAGCGCCGCGACGTGCGCGGGCGTGAGGATGTCGCTCGACGACAGGAGCTTCGCGGCCTCGGGCGGCGGCGGCTCCGAGAACGTCGGCCGCTGCTCGTCGCCGTCGGGCGGCGGCGGCGGCGGCGGCGGCGACGCGCCCTTCGTCGGCGGCGGCGGCGTCTTCTTCCGCGGCGTGAAGACGCCGGACATGCTCCGGCGGAGGCCTTCCATGGCGATGCGCTGCCTGGGTTCGCTCGTGCGGCCTCAGCTTATCCGCGGGCTCAGATTATCCACGTGGACGAGACCATCGCTTCGATAGCTACCGAGGCTAAAGTTGCAGGGAAACATGCAGTCGCGCTCGGCGGGCTGCCTATCTGGGCTGCCTCGAGCTCGAGCGGCCATCGTTGGGCGCCGCGCGCGGCGCACCATGTGCGCGGCGCTCAGCTACGAGAAGTGGGAGAACTTCGACGACAACTCTGACGACGAGATCGTCGCCTGCCAGCCCTGCGACGGCGAGGACGCGCGGTCGCGGGCCCTGAGCGCGTCGCGCGCGCCGACGCGGACGCTGCCCCAGCTCAAGAAGAAGGGCGCCCTCGCGCAGTCGACGAAGGCGCCCCTCGCGGCGCCGAAGCAGAGGCAGCACCACGTCGTCGACGTCGTCGTCGACCTCAACTGACTCTGGGCCTGGCCCGCGCTGGCCCGCGTCCAGCGCGCGGTCGACGCCTTCGCGGGCCGCGGCACCTTCGACGTCCACGTCCACCCCTACCAGCTCTACCCGCAGCTCAAGCGCGGGACCGCGGCGGGCGTCGACCGCGGCGCCTTCTACGACGGCATCGCGCGGGGGCGGCGACCGGACGAGACGGACGACGACCGCGCGGCTTCGCGGCGGTCGATCGGCGACGCCTACGCGCGCGACGGCCTGCCCGGGCCGACCTTCGCCGGCCGGCTGGGCAGCTCCTTCGACGCCCAGCGCCTCGTCTGGTACGCCAAGCTCCGGGGCTGCGAGGCCGCGTGCGCGGGCGCGGCGCTCCGCGCCGCGCACGCGGCCGGCCGCTGCCTGAGCGACGAGGCGACGCTCCTCGACGTCGCCGTCGAGGCGGGCCTCGACCGCGCCGACGCCGCGGCCTTCCTCGCGAGCGACCGCGGCTGCTCCGACGTCGCCGCGCGGATCCGGTCCTACTACGACCACGGGATCTGGACGACGCCCGTCGTCGTCTTCGACAACAAGTTCCCGCTCTTCGGCGCCGTCGACGCTGCCGCGGTCCGGGACGCCGTCGAGCAGCTCCTCGACATCGGCGAGGTCGACGCCGTCATGCCCGCGGCCCACAGCTCCCAGACCACCTGACCCGCGATGACGGCGGCGCGCGGCGACACGGTCGCCGGGCGCCGCCCGAGAGCCGGCTCCGGGGGGTCCCGAATTAGTCTTTTCCTTGGACGCGCGCGAGGACGGCGGCGAGGCCGAGGACGGCCGGCGTGAAGACGAGCTCCGACGCCGTGAAGCCCTTGACGAAGCCCTCGTTGCCTGCGCGCGGGCGCGTGGGACGCGTCGCGCGGGCACGGAAGCGACGCACAGTCGAGATTCTTGTTCATCTCCTTGACGGGCATGCCGGACGCTCTGCCGGGGTACTCCCCGTCGCCTTTCCAGACGCATCCGTCGGGCACCGGCGCGGCCGCGGCCGGCCGCGGCGCGACCGTCGGCGCGACGAGGGCGGCGCCGGCGATCGCGAGCACGCCGCGCGCCAGCGCGGCGCGGCGCGGCGGCGGAGGATTCGTGAGCCTGAGCGACGAGCCGGCGCCGAGGGCGCCGAGGAAGACGACGAGCCGCATGCCGCCAGTTTTCGAGCGGACTTAATGCACGACTTGTTGCACGAATTGATGCGCGTTCGATGAGACGCAGACTGCAGTTGCCTCGGCGCGGATCGTGCGCTTCGCGGAGTCCGCAGCAGCGCGCGTTCTGGGGCGATCCCAGGCGCACAGCTTGTCCAGAGCTCGGTCTGGAAGTTCAAGGCTTCAACTTGACGTAAACATGCACTATATTGACCAGCAACCCCCTTTCTTCGAGAGCCCTAGCACGTCGCGAAGCCGCCCGCGCCGCCGTCGACGTACTTGAGGCTCGTGGTCACGGACGGCTGGAGAAACATGAAGAGCGCGTCGGCCTGGGACGCGTTGGAGTCGAGCGCGCGCTCGTCGGCGAACTTGGCCTTCTCCGACGCGTGGTGGCTGTAGCACGCGATGGAGAAGACGGACGACTTCGGGTCCGAGACTTGCTTCGCCGGGAGCGCGGCGACGAGGCCCCGCGTCGTGTCCGCGAGCGCGTCAGCGTACGCGGTCTCGTTCGCGTCGAGCACGGGGTCGGCGACGATGCCGTTGTAGCCCAGGATGCTGTTGGAGATCTGCCAGCCGTCGAACTGGGACGCGACGAGGAGGTAGGGCGTCTTGAGGAAGGGCATGCGGTACTCGCCGAAGGTGCACTTCCACGGCGCGTCCGGAAACGCTTCTTCGCACGCCGCGTCGACGACGCCGGACGTGTCGAAGTTCTCGTAGGCGTCCTCCATCTCCGTCAAGAAGCCCACGAAGTGGGCCGGCGGGTAGGGCGCGACGTCGACGTAGTAGGGCGAGTCGAGGAAGCCGACGACGGCCCCGGCGCCCGCGGCCTTGAGCGTCGCCGCGGCGCGGTCGAGGTGGACCATGGCGCCGCGGCCGCCCGCGGACCCGCCTCCGAAGACGACGAGGTCCGCGTCGCCGAGGCCTTTGTGCGCCGCGAGGTCCGCGAGCACGGCGTCGACAATCCGCCGCCCGCGGAACTGGAGCCCGAACTTTTCGCCGTCGCCCATGTGCGCGTCGGAGCTGCAGTAGGGCACGTAGGCCTTGTGCGCGCCGTGCAGCGGCCGGTTCGCCGCCGGGTCCTCGGAGAAGATGCCCGTCTTGTTGCACGTCGCGCCGTAGTCCTTCGACGACAGGAAGCACGGCTTCGACGCGTCGGACGTCGAACAGTTGTGGTGCGGGTACAGGCTCCCGTCGCCCCGGCCGGCGCAGGACGCCGCATCGTAGCACTGGCCGCCGCCGCTCAGGTAGACGAGGAAGGTCTTCGACGAGGGGCTGCCCGGGGCAAAATAATAAGCCGCTGGAGTGCCGTCGTTACACACGGCCCCGGCGTCCGTCGCCTGCAGGGAGGTGAGCGTCATCAACGTCTCCGCGCCGGCGTCGTTGCAGGACCAGGCGCCGGCCGTCGCCGCCAGCGCCGCGACGAGGGCCGCCTTTCGGAGGACCATGCTTCTTGGACAAAAGTCGTCCTTGAACGCCAACGTTTTCTCATGGTGAAGAAGCGCGCTTTCTTCGGGGCGTGCGAGGGTGAGGCTGCCCATGGCCAGTGCCTTGGCGGGCTGCACGGGCTTCTTCCTCGAGGCCGGGGGCTGCTGCACGGCGGAGGACGACGACGAGCCGACGAAGTACGCGTGGCTCGAGGACGACGACGAGGTCGAGCTCGACGAGGCCCACTGCGTGCGCCACGACCACCACACACACAAGGCGCACCACGCCCCGAAGAAGGCCCACGGGAAGCGCAAGTCCCCCAAGCACCGCCCGGCGGACTCGGCGGCGGCCGCGCCGGCCCCCGCGCCCGTCGTCGAGGAGGTCGCGCTCGCGGGCGGCGCGGCGGCGCCCGCGCGCCACGACGAGGCGGCGCCCGCCGCGCCCACCCACGCGGCGCACAAAGCGCCCGCGCACCGCAAAACGCACGAGGCGCGCGCGCGCCACGACGAGTCGCCGACGAAATGGATGCACAAGATGCTCGACGGGCAGGCGCGCGTCGCCTACGAGCATTTGAAGGAGGTCGCCGGCTACGAGGAGCACGCCTACGAGCATCTCAAGGAGGTCGCCGCGCACGAGGAGCGCGCGCTCCTCGCGCATCAGCACCGCTTCCGCGCCAAGGAGCCCGCGGTCGGCGTCGCCTGGGCGCACCTCTGCGCGCTCGTGCCCCTCGACGACGACGCGAAGGAGCAGCGCTTCGCCGCGGCGCTGGCCGCGCTCGAGCGCAAGGACTTCACGATGCTCGAGGACGACGGCTCGACGATGGCGCTCTGGTTCGCGTCGCACAAGAGGGCCAAGGCCGTCGACCTCATCCTCACGCACGCGCCGTCGAAGGCGTTTCGGGTTTTCCACAGGGCAGGAAAGGGTGCGAAATTCCCAACTTCAAAGGCTCCTATCTCGGCCGTTTTCCACTCGTCGGCTGATTTTTGGACGAGCGATCATCTCTCGGAGCGGTCTCGACGCGTGGATGCTTTTTCGGAACGCGCGCGCTCGGAACGCCCACGCCGAAGCGACGTTGAATCACTCTTTTCCTGCCCAGGTCTTCCAGGCGAAGATGCGGAATCACCACGGTTTATCCGCTCTCGACTACGCACTCCACCTGAAGCTGGACGGCTACCACACCATGTTCGCCGTCTTCTACCGCCACAAGGTCCACGACGACCACCGCGTGCACCACTAACGGCGGGATATGTTACCACCTTTGAAGTTAAAAGAGGCGGATCGCGTTCCCCCGCGGCGCGGGCGGCGGCGGCGCCGGCTCGGGCGGCGCCGCGGCCGCCGCAGGCGGCGCCGCGAGGTCGTCGTAGGACGGGAGCTCGTCGTAGGCCGGCGGCGCCGGGGGGGGCGCCGCCGGCGTGGGCGCGTCGTCGAGGAGGTCGAGCCGCGGCGGCGCGTCCGTCGTCGAGAACCGCAGAGCGCGCTCGAGGTCCGCGTCCGAGGGCTCCGGCGGCGGCAGCGGCGCGGCCGGCGGCGCGGCTGGCGGCGGCGGCGCGGCCGGTTCGGCGACCGGCTCGGCGACCGGCGGCGGCGGCGCGGCCGGTTCGGCGATCGGCTCGGCGACCGGCGCTTCGGCGGCCGGCGGCGCGTCGACCGGCGGCGCGTCGACCGGCGGCGCGTCGACGACGGCCTCGAAGGCCGGCGGCGGCGACGGCGGCGGCGACGGCGGCGGCGACTCGAGGCGCGGCGCCGGCGGCGCGCGGCGCAGCTCCGGCTCGTCGTCGTCCGACGGCGGCGCCGGCTCCGGCTCGGGCGCCGGCTCCGGCTCGGGCGCCGGCTCGGGCGCCGGGTCGTCGTCGTAGTCCGACTCGGACTCCGGCTCCGGCTCCTCGGACAGCCGGCGCGCGCGCTCGACGGCCTCCTCCTCCTCGGCGGCCTCGCGGCGGCGCTGCTCGTCGGCGACGAGCGACTGGCAGCTGAGCGCCAGCGCCGCCTGCAGGTCCGCGTCCTGCTCGTCGAAGTCGTCGTCCTCCTCCGCTTCGACGGCCCGCGGCGGCGGCTCCTCGTCGTCGTCCTCCTCCTCGTCCTCGCCGTCGTCGAAGTCCTCCTCCGCCGCGCCCTCGGGGACGTCGACGGGCACGGCCGCGCGGGGCGCCGCCGCCTCGTCGTCGCCCGCGGGCGCGTCGGCGTCGTCCCCGTCCTCGACGGGCGCGTCGTCCTCGACGTCGGCGACGTCCGCGGGCGCCGACGCGTCCTCGGCCTCCTCCTCCGCCGCCGCCTCCTCCTCCTCGGCGGAGCGGTCGAGGGCCCGGCAGTAGTACTGGCGCCGGCCGTCGCTCTCCAGCACGTCGAGGAGCTTCGCCGCCGCGTACGCGCAGTCGCGCCCGCGCGAGCCCGCGACGCCCGCGAAGCCGCCGCCGCCGCTGCGCTCCGCGTCCAGGCGGCGAAGCCCGTGGAGCGTACCGAGCTGACGGTCGTCGTCCCTGTCGTTCTCAAAGGCGCGCCGCGCGCGCTCGAGCGCGTCGTCGTCGGCGGCGAGCGTCCGCGCGAGGGCGGTCAACATCAGCGCGGCGACGCTGGACTCGCCAAAGTCGCGGGACTCGCCAAAGTCGCTGCCGTACGCGTAGCAGAGCGCGTAGTTCACGAAGAGGGTGGCGTTCGTGAGAGGGTCGCGATGCCAGAGCTCCGCGTAGGCCCGCGCGGCCGCCCACGACGCGACGCGCACCTCGAGCGCGTTCCGGAGCGCGGCGGCGAGGCCTTCGGCGACCTCGCTGCCGTCGGCGACGCCACCGCGGACTGCGAGCTCGAAGGCCGCGTCCGCCAGAGCCTCGACGAGCGCCGGGTCCGCGTTTACCGCGTCGACGTCCGGCACCGCCCTGTCGAACGCCGCGACGACCGCTTCGCCGAGCCCCGGCGCGTCGCCGGACGCGAAGGCGACGGCGAGCTGCGCGGCCGCCGGCGTCGGCGCGTCCCGGAGCGCGCGGAGCGCCGCGTCGCGCACGGCGGAGCGGCCGCGGACGTCGTCCGCCGGCGCCCCCCGCGCGAGCGACAGCGCCGCGAACGCTCCGAGCGCGACCTGGGCAGGAAAAGAGAGATTCAAGTTCGCTTCAACTTGAGTATTCCGCGCGCGCGCGTTCCGGAACAAGCATCCACGCGTCGAGGCCGTTCCAAGAGATGATCGCTCGTCCAAAAATCAGCCAAAACGAGTGGAAAACGGCCGAGATAGGAGCCTTTGAAGTTGGGAATTTCGCTCTCTGCTCCGAGCGCGACGTCGCGGAGGGGCCCCGCGACGAGCGCCTCGAGGGCGTCGGCCTCGGCGAACGCGCGCCGCGCCGCCGGGGCGAGCGCGAGCACGGAGCGGACGACGAGGGCGGGCGCCGCGGCCGCCGCGGCCGCGCCGGCGCACGACGCCGCGGCGGCGATCGCGTCGGCCGCGACGCACCCGTGGGCCCGCGCCAGGTCCGCCGCCGTCGCCGCGAGGGGCGACGCCGCGCAGAAGGCCGCCGCGGCGTCGACGGCGCCGGCGTCGTCGGACGCGAGCGCGGCCGTCACCGCCGCGACGAGCGCGGGCGACCGCTCGTCGACGACGCCGCGGCGCGCCAAACCCGCCAGCGCCCCGACGGCCGCGCCGCTCGTCGCCGCCGCGTCGAAGAGGCCCTCGAGCGACGCGCCGTCGACGGCGACGTCCGCGGTCTCGTCGTCGTCCAGGCGCGTCCGCAGCGCGTCCGCGGCGCGGCGCCGGCATCCCGCGGACCGCGACCTCGCGAGCAGCGGCCCGAGCGCCCCGCGCGCCGCCAGCGCGGCCCAGAACGCGTCGCAGTCGCCCGCGCCGCCGCCGCGGTCCGCCGCCGCGACGGCCGCGGCGTCGCCCGCGGCGACGAGGCCCGCGACCGCGTCGGGCGCGCCGGCGAGCAGCCGGCCGCACGCCGCGTCCAACGGGGGCGTCGCCGCGCAGGCCGCGAGCGCCCGCAGCAGCGCGCCGTCGCCCGCGTCGCGCAACGTCCGCGCCGCCGCGGCGCCGAGATCCTCGCCGCACGCCGCGAGCGCGGCCCGCGCGGCCTCGGACGATGCGCAGCACGTCTCGAGCGCCGCGCACGCGCTCCCGTCGCCCGTCGCGGCGACCCACGCGACGAGCGCCTCGACGCCGCCGGCCCGGGCGACGGCGTCCGCGGCCTTGGGCCGCGCCGCGACGGCGGCCAAAGCCCGCGCCGCGAGGCCGTCGCCCGCGGCGCCCGCGAGCGCCGACAGCCCCGGCCCGACGAGCGCCCGCCACGTCGGCGCGGACGCGTAGGCCGCGAGCGCCGCGAGCGCCAGGGACCGCTCGTCGTCGACGGTCGACCAGCGCCGGACCGCCGCGGCGGCCTCCAAAGCCCGGGACAGCGGCGCGCCCTCGGCCGCGGCCGGCGCCAACGCCGCGAGCGCGCGGAGCGCGAGCGCGCGGCACGCGTCCGCGTCGACGGAGACGTGGCGCCGCAGGCCCGCCGACGGCGGCTCGGGCCGCGCGTGCCGCGGCTCGTAAAAACCGGCGAAGGTCGGCCGCCGGTCGCCGTCCTCGCCGTCCTCGCGCTCCTCGAGCGACCCGTCGGGCGCCTCCAACACGAGGCGGCGCCGCCGGCGCCGCGGCCGCGCGCGCGCCGCGTCCGGCGGCGCGCGCAGGAGCCAGGCCAGGGGCCCCAGCGCGCCCGCGTCCACGAGCGCCTTGCCGCAGTCGTCGACGCGCGCGGCGGCGACGGCGACGACGAACGTCGCGGCCGCGCGCGCGACGGCGCCGCCGCGGCCGCCCCCTAAAAGGGCCACGGCGCGCCCCAAGCTCGCCGGCTCGGCGACGCAGGCCCGCGCCGCCGTGTCGCGGCACCCGCCGCCGCCGCAGAGCGCCGCGAGCGTTTCCAACGCGGCGACGCGTACGGCGGTGTCCCGCGCGAGCTCGCGCGCGCGCTTCTCCGCGTCGGCCCGCGTCGCCGGCGCCTTGAGCGCTCTTGGCTTCTTCGCCGCGTCGAAGTCGTCGGCGGGGCCCAGCGTCGCGAGCTCCAACAGCCGCGCGACCGCGCTGCCCGGGAGCACGGCGTCGGTCGACTCGCGCGCGCCGTCCGAGGGCCGCGACTCCGGCGAAACCGGCGGCAGCATGTAGGCCGGGTAGTCCTCGGCGTCCCGTCTTCCTCGTGCGTCCTGCAAGATCTTCGGGGGCCCGTCGGCGAGGGGCACGCCGTCGCTCACCGTCGCCTCCGCGAGCGGCAAAAGCGCCGCGGCCTCGTCGCGGCTCAGGCCCGCGGGCAACCCGTCCACGGTCTCCAGCAGCTCGTCGTCGGGCGCCCAGGACGACAGGCGCTGCACGAGCGCCGGCGTCATGGCCACGGCCGTCGCCGTGCGCACGTCCATGGCGCGCGCGTGCGCGACCGCCGCGAGGCTGTCGAGCGCCGCCGCGAAGCCGAGCGCCTGGGCGGGGGGAAAAAAATGTCGGCACGATTTCATTGTTCAGGAAACGGGTTCGACACGAGCGCCTCGCTCTCTGGAAAGAACTCAACGAGAGCAATCGATTCGTCCAAGAATCAGCCGAATCGACTTCGATTCGACCGAGCTAGAAAGGTCCAAAGTTTGGTTGGAATACACCAAACCAGTGGTTGATTTCGGCTCAGCCGAGCGCGGCCGCGGCCGCGTGGGCGACGCGGGGCCGCGGCGAGTAGAGCAGCGACGACGAGATCGTGTGCAGGGGCACCTCGTGGTCCGCCGCGGGCGGGGCCGCGTCTTCGGTACACTCCGCGGGCCGTTCGACGTCCGCCTCGCGCGCGAACGTCAGCGAGAGGGGATAGGTCAACCCCCGAAAAAAGTCGACGAGCGCCGCCTCCGACGCGCCGTCGTCGTCCGGGGGCACGCAGCCGTTGGCCTCGAGGAGCACGTCGCCCGGCTTGACGCCCGCGGCGGCCGCGCGCCCTCCGGGCTCGACGGCGTCGACGCGGCAGCAGCAGGCCTCGTCCGCGCACGTGTGCAGGACCATGGTGCAGCCCATGGGCGCGGCGTCGACGGCGACCCTGCGCACGGCCGCGGCCCGGCGCCGCGCGGCCTCGCCCCAGAAGAAGCCGCCCTCGAAGACGAAGTCGTCGTCGTCGCCGCCGTCGCCGCCGGGCCGCCGCAGCAGCGCCGCGTAGGCGCGCACGGCGGGCAGGGCCGCGTCCTCGAGGGCCTCGTCGTTGCCCGCCTCCGCCGCGTCGGCGAGCCGGGGCGCGTGGTCCCGCGCGACCGTCGCCGCGACGGCCGCGAGCGCGCGCTCGCGGTCGCCGCCGGCGACGTCGTCGCGGAACGCGCCGACGGCGTGGGCCGCGACGCGGCGCACGGCCTCGTCGGCCGCGCCGCGCTCCAGCAGCTCGAGCACGGCGGCGAAGACGCCGGAGGCGAGCAGGCGGCGCCGCGCGTCGCGCGCGGACGTCGGCCGCCGCCGCGGCCGCGGCGGCCGCGGCGCGCCCGCCGCGCCGCCGGCGGCCTCCGGCGGGTCCGAGCCCTTGCGCTCGTCGCGCGCGGCGCCCGGCGCCGCCGCCCGCGCCGGGGCCACGGTCTCCTGCGTGTGCTGCCGCCGCCGCTTCTCGAAGCGGCAGAAGACCTGGGCGGGAACAGGGCGCGACGTTTCCCAGCTTCAAAGGGTTCCATCTCGGCCGTTTTCCCGCTCGCTTCGGCTGATTTTTGGACGAGCGATCATCTCTTGGAGCGCTCTCGAAGCGTGGATGCTTTTCTTGGAGCGCGCGCGCGCGGACCACTCATGTTGAAGCGACGTCGAATCACCCTTGTCCCGCCCGGCGGAAGACGAGCCGCTTCGGCCAGGGCGCGTCGCGGACGACGTCGCAGGCCGCGAGCATGGCCGCGCGCACCGTGCCGTGGGCCGCGTCGGACGCGACGACGTACTCGACGCGCCGCCCGTTGACCTCGATGAGCTCGTCGCCGTTCTTGACGCCGCGGCGGGCCGTCGCGGCGTTCGCGCGGTGCACCGCGGGCGCCACGGACGCGCCGCGGCGGCCGCCGGCCGTGAGCTCGAGGCCCAGGCCGTGGGGGCCGCCGCCCTCGAAGGTGAGGGCGAAGGTCAGCGGCCGCGGGCCGTCGTCCGCGGGGGCGTCGTCGAACTCGTCGCTCGACGAGCCCGCGCGGCCGTCGTCGTCGTCGTCGCTGCAGGGCGGATACCGGGGCGGCGCCGCCGGCGGCTCGGCGGCCGCGTCGTCGTCGGAGGACGCGCCGTCGAGCGCCGCGTCGTCCGCGAGCCGCGCCACGACGCGCGCGAGCGTCAGAGCCTCGGGCGCGTCCGCCGCGGCCGCGGCCGCGAGGCTCCGCGCGAGCGCGGGGCCGAGCGCGCCGTCGGCGACGAGGCACGCGCGCGCCTTGCGGCTCGACGACCGGCAGAGCTCGAGGAGGAGCGCCGCCGCGGCGTCGGCGGAGAGCTCCAGGAGCGCCGGCGCCGCCGCGGCCGCGCGCCGCGCGAACGCCGCGTCGTTGCCCCGGTACGCGTCGGCGCCCGCGGCCCGGCGGAAGCGCAGGATCTGGGCGAAGACGACGGCGACGCGGCGCCGCGCGGCGCCGGGCGCGGCGTCGTTTTGGAGGACCGACGTCGCGAGCCGCGCGAGCCGCGGGCCCGCGCCGCGGCCGCTCAGCGACGCCACGACGTCGGATTCCAGGGCGCAGAGCGCCTCGAGGGCCTCGGCGGCGTGGTCCGCGGCGGCCCAGGCGCCGTCGCGCGCGCAGCGGCAGCAGCACGCGGCGAGCGCGGGGCCCGCGGCGGCGGCCGTCGCCGCCGCGAG